AGCAGGAATCAGGGGGATGACGATTAGCCGTGAAGTCAACTGTCTCCCTCCCTTCTGCCTGGCCAGAAATGCCGCTGGTCCTCCGAGGCAGTTGGTTTGAAAGTTTGGGTGGCGCAGGAATCATCCACCCCTTCCCCATGGATGCAGCGCTGGCCAGATCTCAGGACTTTCCCCTCATGGGCCAGCACCCTGACCTCTGGGCCGCAGAGTGACCTCTGCCCCTGCTTACCTAGGGGGTTTCATGCCAGTTGCACAGGTTTAGAGCTGTAAAGGAGCCTAGCTTAGCGTTACCTTCAGCCAAGGGTCTTCAACCATTTTAGACTCAAGGCTCATAAGAATACAAGAGCTGCCATGTACGGAGTCAGACCAGACGTCCATCTTGCCCAGTCTCCTGTGTCACACGGCGGCTGGAAGGGAGGGTGATCTGGTTCTGAGCAGCGATTATCCCCCTGCTCATCTCTCACTTGCAGCCTCCAAGTTTTAAGTCTTTTGATACGGTCTCCCCCAAGGTTCTCACAGGCAAGCAAAGGATGTCTGGGTTGGATGAACGGACCATAGGGTGAACAGAAAACTGGCTGGGTTGTTGGGCTCCCACGGATCCATGTCTAGCTGACAGCTGATATCAAGTGGAGTGCCCCGGGGGTTGGTCCCAGGGCTGGTTTTGTTCAATGTCTTCAACGACCTGAAGATGGGATGCAGTGCACCCTATGCAAGTTTGCAGGGGAGACCAAACTGGGGTCAGTAGTAGATACACTGGAGGACAGGGCTAGGATTCAGAGAGACCTCGACTTGTTGGAGGATTGGACCATAAGAAATCTCACAAGGTTTAATAAGGAGAAGTGTGAAGGCCTGCACTTAGGAGGGAACATTGCTATGCACAGGTACAGGCTGGGGTGACGGGCTGGGCAGCAGCTCTGCAGAAAAGGACTGGGGATGACAGAGGACAGAAGCTGACTGAGTCAACAGGGTGTCCTTGTTGCCAAGAAAGCTACCGGCATCCTGGGCTGCATTGGTAGGAGCGGTGCCAGACGATCCAGGGCAGTGATTCTTCCCCTTTATTTGGCACGGGGGAGGCCACATCTGGAGTCCTGTGTCCAGCTGTGGGCCCCCACTACAGAAAGGGGGCCCACTACTCTCTCACTAGGAGGGCTGTAAAGCACTGGACCAGGCTACGCAGCAAAGTGGTGGAGTCTCCATCCTTGGAGGTTTTTAAGACCCCAATAGAGAGAGTCTTGGCTGAGTCATAGTTGACTCCAAGATGGACATGAGTTGTCAATGGGCATGCATTGTGATCGGTAAAGCTAACCACACTTTATCATGCATTATCAGTTGCATGACCAACAGGTCCAAGGAGGTGATCCTCCCCCTCTATGCGACACTGGTCAGGCCACAGCTGGAGTACTGCACCCAGTTCTGGGCGCCGCACTTCAAGAGGGATGAGGATAACCTTGAGAGGGTCCAGAGGAGGGCCACTCATATGGTTGGGGACCTGTAGGTAAGGCCCTGCAAGGGGAGACTGAGGGACCTGGATCTCTTCAGCCTCCGCAAGAGAAGGCTGAGAGGCTTTCTAGTGGCCATCTACAAATTCACCAAGGGGCTGCAAGGAATAGGAGATACTCTGTCTACCAGGGCATCCCTTGGAGTAGTGAGGAGTAATGGCCACAAACTGACGGAGAGCAGATTTAGACTAGACATTAGGAAGAACTTCTTCACAGTAAGGGTTACCAGAATCTGGAATGGGCTTCCAAGGGAGGTGGTGCTCTCCCGTACCCTGGAGGTCTTTAAGAGGAGACTGGACAAACACCTGGCTGGGGTCACCTGACCAACCTGGTGACCTTCTACGACCAGGTCACAAAAGCCATGGACACAGGTGTCGCAGTGGACATAGTCTTTCTGGACTTTAGGAAGGCCGTCG